AGTTAAAAACCGTAACTTAAATGAATGCTTTTTGTTTCCTTTTTAAAATGTGTTTTGTAAATATGTGATGTAAATTAATGTGCTCAAATAGCTTTTTAAATATGGTAAATTATGCTTCAGTATGTATTTAGGTATATTACTGTTTTCATTCTGTGTTCAGTAGCATGAAAGAACAAATGTAAATATTTGTGTTTAAACAAAGTTTATACCTTATATGAAATGATGGAACTATCAATAATTGATGGCCAGCTATGACTGTAAACTGTTATACAAGTTTTGAGCTTTAGGCCTGCTGCATATCTGTATAGAAGAATTAATTTAACATGTAAGCTTGCTAGGAAGAAAGCTTTTAATTTTACTTATTACTAGTAAAATCCTATGATTCCCTGCTTGCCATCTAAATCATAGTTTATGCATATTGCATGTGCATTTTAGAAAAATCTTAAGGTTGTTGCATATCATGATATACAGGAACTCTTACTTTAATTGTCTGCACATGTGCCACAAGTGTCAATGTCAGGGATTTTATGCCTAAAACAGTGTGTTCAAGTCCGTGTATTGTAGTTTGGTAGTATCTTCTTTTTTATTCCTAGTAAACAGCACTTTTATTCCTCAAGAATCAGAAGAGCCAAAAATGTATCTTCATTGGAAGACAAATGTTAAAGTTAATTTTTTAAAGAATTGATAGTAAAATATATTCCTAACCTTTTGTAGGGTGGGATTTTTAAAAGCACACTGTTGGCCTAACTGCTCCATTGATTATGATAGGATCAATGGAACCAGAATTAAGCCAGTGCTGAGTGCTTTTGAAAATCTCCCCCATAATATATTAATCAGCATAGATATTAAGGGCCTAATCCTTTGAAGTGCTGAGCACTTCCTGTAAAGTGCTAAGCACCCTCAACTTCATGACTTGCAGTGAAATTGAGGGTACTCAGGACTGATCAGGATAGATCCCAGATAATTGTCTGTTTTTGTGGAATTAAATGCATGAATATCTAGCCTCTATGTTTTTGTTCATCATAAATCTTAATTTTCCTTTTGCTTTGCCTGTATTGTTATGCTATCTAATAGCATCCCATTCAAAAACACTATCTTTGCCTAATATTTTTATATATCCATAGGTAATATGATGTAAGGAGGTAGTCTGAAACACTTATTTTCTCTGTTAATGCAACACAAATCAGTTAAATGTTGACCAAGATGATCTATGAGATTATTTTGTGACTGTCACAATCATTCAGTGATTTAGGAACCAAAGACTTTCTTCTGCTCCCCTGAAGAATAAAAAACAGTGTATTGATAAATTATTTATTATATAGTGTTCCTGCAAGAGTGCTGACAAGAAATACCAATCTAATCTCACTGCCCATTTGTGTGCCTCCTGGATTTACCACAGCACATGGTGGGATGCAGGTGTTTGTTTGCTGTTAGCATCTTTTCTTTTACGGCCATCCCAGCAGCAAGTTGTGCCCCTGGCCATTCTTTAATGAAAGTTATGAGTATACTTGTAGACATTCCAATAATTTGCAGAAAGATGGTAATTACTGATTTGATTGACATAGTTGAAAGCAGGCTGTAGGAGATATTTCATATTGTATTGGAATGATCTTTAAATCTAGTCAATATAGTATTCTATAGAAACTATTTAATGTAGAGGAAAAATAACAAAAGATTAGCATAAACTGAACAAACCCTTAAAATAAGCATGCTTGAGTTTTTATATTACTACTTGATATATTTCTGTATTTGAGCATACTGAATATTTTGAGAGGCAGATGAGTAGATGTGAACTCAATAACTAGTATACTAAATAAGCAGCTATATTCTCAAAGTAAATTTGGTCTTATATCCATATGTCACATTAGCTGAACACATTTCCTGCAGGATTGTTAAAAGGAATAGTTTTTAAATGTCTGGCTTTATTTTGAAGTGTTTTCTGGTATTCAGTACCATCAATTTTAGCACCTTTGCTTCTGAGGCATCTTTAGGTAGTTTAGGTTTGTGCCTTGTTTCTCCAGCATGCTTTTATTGACATGTCCATTTCTCAGTTATGCCTGTGGAAGACATCCAGTGAAATTAATGTTTGATTTGGGTTTTTTAATATCTCCTGGTGCATTTTAAAAAAATACACATGAATATGCTTCAGCCAAAGTCCTGGAACTTTGCAAAGTGATTAATTAAGTGTTGATTAATCATGTACTGTCTAAGAGAGAGAAAATGTTGTGATTTAATACATAGTCACAATTATATATAAATGAGTTAACGAGGCATAACTGTAATTTCTTTAATTTAACATGACACAAACTTATGTCCCAATTTGACACAGCTTACGTTAAAAAAGATGTTTACCAATCACTTTTGCCAGATACGTACCTTTTAGTATCAGGAAGTTTTAAAGGCTGCCATCTTATTATTGATATTACACCAAAATAATGTGTGTACACTCTGTCTGAACCCAGTACTGTTCTGTAGCAGACTTTAACATAAACAGTGCCTTCAAAGAAAAGAAATGAAGTGCAGAGCTGAGAGCTATGCACATTCCTTTTGATAACATGCTTAATTCTAGTAAAACAGAAAAGAATTCATGCTGGCATTTTGGTTCCGGACAGACAGCAAATTTGACTGTTCCTCAACAGAGGACATGACATATAGAAAAAATATTTTCGAGATTCTGAAAGGGTTTTACAAATTAAGAGGTAGAAATGCTATAAAAACACTAACCGTGTCTCAAGTCCAGTCATCTAAATTTCCTTCCCATCTGCCATATTTTAAATTACAATGAGAAAAATATAAAATATAGTATTCTCCTTGAAACCAAGAATATATTGACAAACAAATGCAAAATGTTTATTCTTAGATCTTTTAGGTCTATTTTTGTACTCTTCTGTTTAAAATAATATATTAGTCTTATAGTGGATTACAAATAAGCCAATTATAAAAATTTAAAAGGACACATTGCATATCAGCAAGAGGAAGTGTACTTAAGATTTTATTTTCAGAGGTAGCTGAGGCAAGCTTATTGAAAACTGCACTGAAACAATTGCTGGCAATTTCCTGTGTACTATCATACTTTTATTTTTGTTTTGTTCATGAAAATGTTTGTACTTTTTTATCATTGTCTTTTTTTAAATATAATGTTCTAAAGACTTGCGTGGTTGTCTAATTTTTTCCCCCTTCTAGGCACTGTATTCTATGGAAGGTGGCTCCTTCAATGAATTCTATTTAGAAAAAAATAAGCATTAGTTGAAGTGTCTGGTACAGTATTACTCCCACGTTGACCTCACAGCTTGACGGGATGGGAAATTTCTTATTTGATAAGGACTCATCCTGTAGAAACCTTTTACAGATAAAATTGAAACATGTTTTCAGAGCATGTTAAATTATTTTATAAAAAAATTAACTTTTTAAAATTGTGACCGCATAAGGTGAGAATTATTTGTGGCAGGACCCACTCTTTAAATTTTGCCCAGCATAATGCAGCCTTGAGTCTGACTTCTGGTGTGTCTAGGTGCTATTGCAGATGTGGTGAACCTGAGTCTGAGAAGGAACCAGAATTTACCAATGTACATTGCCAAAGAGCCTCAGTAATATGTCAGCAGCCCCCCATCAACTCTTGCCGCCCGTTCCCAGCGCTTCCCGCCCACCAGCAGCCCCACCGATCAGCACCTTCCCCTCCCTCCCCGCACCTCCCGATCAGCTGTTTCGTGGCATGCAGGAGGCTCTGGTGGGGGAGGAGGAGGAGCGAGGGCATGGCAGGCTCAGGAGAGGGGGTGGGAAGGGGTGGTGTGGGGGCAGGGCCTGTTGCAGAGGGTTGAGCAGGGGTCGAGCAATGAGCCACCCCCTGGCACATTGGAAAGTTGGCGCCTGTAACTCCAGCCCCGGAGTCAGTACCTATACAAGGAGCCGCATATTAACTTCTGAATAGCCGCATGTGGCTCCGGAGCCACAGGTTGGCCACCCCTGTGCTATTGTAATACAATACATTGTTAAACCTGTTACAAAATCTAAAAATGTTGTACCTCAGCTAATTAACAGATTTGATCTCCTGCTGAAATGTTTGGAGTGAAATACAACAATTTAGTAATACTTAGCTCTTATAACACTTTTCATCTATTTAGATCTGAAAGTACTTGAAAAAAAATAAAGTATGGTGGTCCAAAGATACTATATTGATTGGAGTCTAACTAACAAGTTTTTTCTTGTTAGCATAAAACAGCACAGCTGTCCTAGAAATATTCTGAACAGCTACAAGTAGCAGAAAAATACCCCAGTATCAAGAGAGTTCAACCAAGCTTCTTGGAATTATTAAACCTGGGAGCAGACAGAGCTCCTCATTTGTCAGTGATTCCCCCTTCTCATCTGTCATTCATTTCTTTTAATTATTATTACAGTAGTAGTTAGAGCCCCCATCACAACTGTGGCCAAGTTTATATGTACTGTACAAACATAGGTAATGATCTTTGCGTTAGCACTTGGGTTCTAAATGACAAGTGACATGCAAAAGGAGAAGGACGATATTTTAAAATACACACCTGTATACTGTTTTTCTTATTTACAATATGCATTTGCTGTTTAATTATATAAATATTAGCGATCCCTGAATGCCATACAATCTTGTCATCATTTGTAGGCTGATTTTCTCTTTTGTAGGCATAGCTGCAGAACTGCGACATCAGGGAAATCAGTGGGACTCTGTGCAGGGGTTCCATGTTATTGCCTCTTTTGGTAGGGTCTGGGCCCAAGTAAACAATGTACTAATGAAGATAATTCAGTAAATATGTCTTGTTCCATAATTTTGTGTTTGAGACTTTTTTGCATTACAGATCTATTTTTCTCACAGTTCTTTGTGATAAAGACTATGGCTTATCGGCCATATAGAAGATTTCAGTTTACTTTCAGTATATCAGCAGTGGATTTTCAGTGTAGTTTTTTACAACCCTCAGACAGTGTTTCTTCTGAACCAAAAAAAAAATTTTTTTTGAAAGAGTAACTGAAAACATTTTTAAGAAGAAATGTTTATTGACTTTACCAGAGTTAACACATTCATTAAATAAAAATCCATTGCGTAGCAGTTTGCTTCTGAGTTAGTGTTTGAAGATGAAAAATGTTATGTGAGTAATAAGACTGATTATTGCAGAATCATTCATTATAGGAAATCAATCTACAAATCTTAAATTGACCAATGTAGGAGAATTTGCATGGTTAATGTGTAGTTCCAATGTAGGAGAATTTGCATGGTTAATGTGTAGTTCCTAATTCCTTTGGTTCACTAACTATAGCTGTAGTTGAGTAGGAAAAGGGACTGATGAGAACAGCAATAGTATAATGACGATGACCAGAATCATTAGCAGTGAATACCACCTGGAGAAGAGAGAGAAAAAAACACTTGAGAGCTTGAAACATAGTTGTACATTTTTAAAGCCAGAAGAACCATTGTGATCATCTTATCTGGCCACTTGCATATCACAAGCCATAGAATTTACCCACATTAATTCCTGCTTGAACCAGAGCAAATTTGTTAGAAAAAAGTCCAATCTTAATTTAAATCTTTCCAGTGATGGAGAATCCACCACAACCCTTCGTAACTAACCATTGGAAAAACTTACCCTCACTGTTTAAAAACTTGCTCCTTATTTCTTGTCTAAATTTGTGTAGCTTCAACTTCCAGTCACTGGATCTTGTTATAACTTTATCTGCTGAATTTGAAGAGCCCTCTATTATTTCCCCCCCCCCCCATGTAGGTATTTGTGGGCTGTGATCAAGTCACCCCTTAATCTTCTCTTTGATAGGCTAAATAGATTGAGATCCATATGTTTATCACTATAAGACACGTTTTACAATCCTTTAATCACGGCTCTTCTCTGAACCCTTTCTAACTTATCAATATCCTTCTTGAAGTGTGGCACAGTATTTCAGTAGCATTGCACCAGTGCCAAATATATAGGTAATATACCCTCTCTGCTCCTCAAGATTCCCTTGCTTATACATCTACGGCTCTCATTAGCCCTTTTGGCCTCAGTGTTGCATTGGGAGCTTATGTTCAGCTAATTCTCCACCATGACCCTCCAGCCCTTTTTAGAATCACCGTTTCCCAAGGTAGAGTGCCCATCCTGTAATTATGGCCTGTATTCTTTGTTTATTAAATTTGGCTGTACTGAAACATAGTGTGTTTGCATCCAACTTATCAAGTGATCCAGATGGCTCTGTATCTGTGACCTGTCCTCTTCATTACTTGCCAGTCCCCAAATAACAAGCTGTGCCTCAAAACTATTGTATACATTTAACCTCAAGTTTTAATTTTGGAAGCATGCATATTCTTGTCTAATGTTTTGATGAAAATTTGCTGTCACTGTTTTTACATTTTGTTAATTATATAAAGCTAGTAAAATATGTGCATGACCTTATAAATCAGTGTTGTTACAGTACAGACAGCATTTGATTGATGTGCTTTTTGACCGTGAGGTATTGTTAACCATTTGTGAACCCTACTAAGGATAGATGTTTGTTCTCTCTTTGCTCTCAGCAGACTCTAAGGTTATGTAACACAGCATGCTGGCCCTTCTATTATTGGGACTAACCTTGTAACTGAAAAAAGGTGATTATGGAACTATATCATATGAAATCTGGGCTCAGTGAGAGACGGAGGGGAAGGATGTCTTTAGATAGGAGGGAGAGGAAACATGGAGAAGGATTAGTCAGAGAAACTAAGCTAGTGAGTAAAGCTTTGTGGAAAGACAGAAACCCTGGAGAGGGGTAAACTGGCAAAAGAGGAGACCTGGAGCAACGCAGTGGAGGTGTGGGAGTGTGGCCGGAGTTGACACTTGTACTTATTTAGGGCCGCCTCAGAAGGAGGTTCAACAGAAAGTGGAAGCAACCTCTTTCCCTTCACACAGCCTCATGTCATTGGTAAGGAGCTGCTTAGCCGTGGGTATGGGCAAAGGAATTGTCAACACCACCACTGTAAGTGTGTATCCTTGTGTCAACAAGGGAAAAGGGCTACTGAGTCCATGGAGGGCAGTTGAAGATTACCAAGCCTGGAGAGAGCTGGAAGACTGCTTTGTTACTTGAAAATGAGAGAATTTTTACTAAGATTTGGCAGGATGGTTAAACCTCAGATTACCCCTTCTACCATAGAGACAGCAGACCACTAGCTGAAGAGGGGAAACTGAGGCACCAACACCGGAAAGGTAAGCTAATTACAGGGTAATAGATGACAATTACTTGTCTGTATTGATGCTTCCTTTGTGTTGTGTTCCATTCAATGTATAACTCAGGGGAGATATTTAGTCGTAACTGCTGTGCCATCAGGATGCAGATGATCAGCTTTTTATGAGGTACTTCAGGCTTGGACCAGGTTAATTTGGCTTTTCTAGCATCTATCCAAGATACAGGTTGGATGACAGTAAGTTGGTCAACCCAGATAAAACAGAGATAATATTGGTACATTGGGGAAAACCACCAAGGAAATAGCAGAGGTTAGTATCAGTTCTTTTTGAGCAAGTTGTTTTTTCCTGTCTTTTGTCCTTGAAGTCTGAAACTTAAGGTATTACTAGATCATTTGTTATCCAGAAGCAGCCAAAGAGCAGCAGAAGTCTAAGAGTGCATTTACGTGGGGTGAGAGGGTGAAGATTTTCATTTAAAACAGTTTCTTTCTGTTGTGTGCAGTATGTAAACCTTCTAAGCATTTAGGAGTGGAAAAATGAACAATTAAGGGATGGAAGGTAAGCATTCAAATCTGTTGACAGTTCACACAAGCTCTTAAGTGTATGTACACATGAAAAGCAAATTTAGCTCTATTCCCTGAATTCCTTTCCAGACTCTGCTTATAGGCCAGAAACCCTCTTAAACCCAACTGCCCTAGATTGTATTCATTTCTAGTACAGACTAGTTTTACATATCACCATCTACTCACTATGTATAACCAGTTCATCTCCCCATTTTAAACCAAACACCCAAAATCTTGCTATCTCCTCTCCACATGTGGACCAAAGACTCAATGCTCCCTTATTTCAGATAACCATGATCATTGAGAGTCCAGCATGGCGTTCATTCTGTATGTGCAGTTCCAAAAGAACAATGTTCTCTCAGTTATTCCACAGTGAACCAGAAAATACAAACTAACCCAACCATCCTCCCTATGCAGATTTAAAACTTCATACTTTTCCTGCTAATATTCACCCTCTTGTGAGTCAGACACAGCTTCCAACTTCATCCAATCCATTCTGTATATTTAAGCTGCATACCTCAAAATATTCAGTTAATCACACCAGGCTAATATCTTATTTATCTGGCACATGTACATTAAGAGATTGTATGAACTGCAGATGGGATTTTCAACAGGCCCTAAGTGACTTGGCATAAGTCCTATTGACTTTTAATGTCCCAACCTCTGAATGTAGTTAAGTATTTATCTATTTTCCCTTAATTGATTATTTTTATTCTATACTTTAAATATTTAGCTATATTGGACATAGTCATAGTCTTATCTTAAAGTTTTAATTGTGTATATCTTTAAGAAGTGACCAATGAAGACTCAAGGTCCTCTGTACAGTCCCCAGCACTAACATCTCTCTTGAAAAACTCCTAAGCTTCACGTGACAGGGTTGCTGGCACTGGAAACTCATATTGCCTTACATAAATCATGATTCCTGCAAAGTTCCCAGCTCCTGACAGGTTTCATTCTGCAAGGTCTCTAGCTACCCTGCTTTCCTTGCCCTCTATAGTACTGTATGTTCTGTGGATTCCTAATTTACTGGTGTCTTGCACTGCCCTGTCAAGCTTAGGAATTATCTACAAGTTCCTATTTCTCATCTATTCTCCTTGCCATACATAGACTTTATGATATATACACCTCTATTCCAAACAGTCAGGTTTTGGAAATAATATTTTAATTAGCCCATTCTGTTGATTTCAATTATATTTAACTGTAAAGTTAAATTTTAGAGTCAAGTTTTTTTACAATTAAGGGGACTGCCAAAAAGTTTAACACTTGTGAAAATGTTGAAATTGTCACTTTTTAAACATTTCCAGGTTTGGTTTCAACCAAATACCACAACTGCCTTATACTGTGGGCCTTAAGTAGCTAAGGGATTGTTTCTCTCTTCATATTGTACCCAGCTGTAGAAATAATTTGGGATGGTCAAACTGATAGCTGCAAGATGTTTGTTTGTTGGCTGCTGGTAAAGTGTTTTCAGTGGAGGGTCCTCCACTCTGGAACTTAACATCCCCTCCTCCCCAAACCTTGATGCAACAGAGAAGGCTGGAGATTTTCAGAACAGTTTTCAAAACTGATGTATTCAGGATTTCTTGGGGAGGGGAATGAACTGAAAAAGAACTTAGCTTGAAATATTGTTAATACTAAACCATCTTATTTATCTAGACTTTAAAGAACTGTGTTGCATGCAGGTAGAGCATTGGATCAACTTTTCTTTAAAAATCTAAATAAAATCAATTGCATATGAAGCTGCTGTACTGCTACTACTGTGTGGCAAACATCATTAACAAAAGCATTGGTGATGGCCCAAGGAAAATATGGAACCCTCCTTCCCCACTAGACTGAGGGAGAAATAGCCCTGCTATTCTTCTTCCACAGGTACCCCCAAAAACCTAGGAAGGACCACTGGGTGGCTGCAAAAGTCGGGGGGTGGGGGGGGAGAGGGGAAAGTCCCTAGATGAGAAACAAGTCTAAGAGCCTGCTGAGAGAAAATGGGAGGCTAGTTCTGGGGTATTTGGTGTGTGGAAATTCCTGTGGAGCTTTGAGTTTGCAAATTTGAACTGCTCAGTGAACCTGAAGGTGTTAGTTCATGGCAAAGCCTTTGAAACTGGAGAGCAATAAATGGACACAGTTATTAATTAAACCCTATACAGTTAACACAGCCTTGTTCTGTGCAATTATAGGTCCTTTTAAAAATGTGAAATAGAAATATAATGAATACTCACATCAGCATGTTCATGGAATGGGTTAAGGCCAAGTCCCTTCCAGTAAGTGACTGTGTCAAACTCGATCTTGTATAACCCTGTTACAAATTGTTTCTCGGTTGTAAGCTCATGGATCTCACCATATTCATTGGTTTTTCTGTATGAGAGCAAGATAATATACATTTATTTGTGTTCAGATGTCTGAAAGAAAGAGGCAATGTATAGCATTGAACTACAATGACGTTCTGTAGCCAGACATCTGGGAAAATGCTGACTGGTCATCTGAAATAACTTGTTCCTTTCTGTACTGTGGCGACCTCACAAAGTCTGTCCTTGCATCTAGATTTTCCATGCATACCACAAAGTATGTCTGGGCTGTAGAAGCTTCTTTATTGTTACTGCTGCAAAGATTGGAGGTGAGTCAAAGAAATCTGGCATGGGTGTTCACTGTCTCCTGATAAGGCTGTTGGGCCGAGCCCAGAGTTGTTTAAATGTTACTTCAGAGCCAACAGGGGGCACACAAGAAAAACTCACCGCTGGCCTAAGAGTGCATAACTCTCATGATGTTTTAATAAACACATTTAAACTAGTGGTTATTTACTCTTATTATTTATTAATACTTCACATAAGGTTGTTCCTAATTCTTTTTCTTTTTAGGAGAGTATTTTGTTCTGGTTTATTTACAAGAACACTCTTTGTTTATAATTTATTTGAATTACACTGAGGTTGCCATAAGTTTGACCAAGAGTATAGTCTTATGAAATCTTATTAGTCCATTGCGTTGTTTGACCTTCACAAGCAGATAGAGTAATTTAAACAAACCTATCAGGACATTAGTATTGTCTCGAAACTGCAGAGCTTTAATTGCTAGCCAATGTGGGGATGTGGAGCCTGTATTGAATTTTGTCTCCTGGCTTAATGTAGCTCCTCTAGAAATACTCTATTTCCACTTAATCAGTCCTATAGTGTAGGAACTAGTGATTGGATATCAGTGGATAGTATAACGCTTGTATTTTATGTTAGTGTTTCAATAATCTCCATCCATTGTTTAAAGTTCTGAATGCTGAGACTCAGTCTCTAAATGTCTGTTGTATTTTTTCATTACAATAAAAGGCAAACACTAATCAGTACATCAACTGACACATTCGAGTCCCTCATTTGTTTTAGTATAAGACAAGGAAATTCAGCACTTAATGATAAACCATCTAGGATGCCATTTTCATATTTTACTAGAATGCTTTCAAGCCTGTTCTTAGAATTTTTCATGATTGATTAAAATGTTTGTCTACTTTTTCTTTATCCTACATTGATCACTGTTAAGCAACTCTCCATTTACTTAACAAACTTTCTCAACTAAACCCTGATAACTCTTTTAGCTAAAAGTACAGTGATGGGCTAGAGTGAGCTTATGAGACTCCTTTGTTAAAATTCCACTACCACACTGAAGTGAGTGTGGAGGTAATTTCTCTGTCTCTAATGAAGTTCAAGTACTCTGCCAAATAGAACTAATAAAATTACCACTGCATGTTCTTTGCATCAGATCTCAGGGTTTTTTTTAAATACCCTCAGAAACTGACCTTAGAGCATCCAACTCTCCCACCCACTACACCCACACAATGTTTTCACACACACCTGCCCACACATTCCACCTCCCAATTGCACTGTATTGTGTATATTACCAGTATAGTCAATATGTTTTTTAGCAATAAGTATACATATCTCAAGCAGCAGTATATGCTTTAAGCTGTTTACCACGTGCTCTTGCTTCCTTCTCTGGGTACGAGGGCACATTTTGGTTTAAATGGGAAAACATATGGCTAGATTTTCCATTCCTTCACCCCTACTCAGTGTGATCATATGCAGCCCTGGGCCATTAGGTTTGTCAGAGGCTAACTCTTTAAACAATGTATTGACACCTTCTAATAATTGGAGCACCACCACTATAAGCATTCCTTTGTATAATAATATTGGAGAACTTGCATACAGTTTTGATGTAGGCTCATTATTGGTCTGAGGCTGTGATCCCATTAGTGGTGGATTCCTGCAGTGTGACGACTTTAACTATCCACTTTCTGAAATGATCCAGGCTATTGTAGGCTACTTGACAGAGGATAATGGTTTCCCTAGACTTTCTCCTGGAAGTTGCTATCCTATCTTGAAACAATATTTTTATGCTCCAGTGCAGCCAGAATTCTTAACTAGAGTTTTAAACTTCAAACAGATTAGAAGTCTTCTGACTAGGCCATATTATATTATGTAGAAATTGGTGGGCATTCATTCTCTGACAACATGCTAGAGCAGAGGTGAACTTCATACTAAGAACTGATGTGTTGCTTGTAGCCATAAAGTGAAGTGTCATGAAGAGGGAAGAGTCAAAGAGCAATTGAAGGAAGAAAAGTT